AGATTTTTGTTTTTTTTGAGACAGGGTGTCTCTCCATAGCCCTGGCTGTCCTGGAATTCACTACAAAGATCAGGCTGGCTTCAGACTCAGAGATTTGCTTGCCTCTTCCCATCAATTCCTTAGATAAGAGGCGAGTTCCAAAGTGCCCACCTAAGATTCTTAAGTTTTCTTTGGTGTTTTAAAAATTGGCTTCTAGCATAACATGATCTGGAATGTACTATGAAATGGAACAGTAACCTTGAACTCTTGACCTGCTTCCACTTTTGAAGTAGGGTTACTCAATCCTTTGCTATACTTGGTGTCTGTGATTGTGTTTTGTGTCTTGGAACATTGTTTACTACTTTGAATTCTCTCGGCTGAAGATTTTAGAGGAGAGACAAAAGTTTCTTAAGTTGTTTTAAACTATGTTTATTTTTCAGTTTGAGACCTGGTCTTGCTGCATAGCCCAGGCTAGCCTAGAATTCATTCTGAATCCTTGCCTAGCCTTAGACTCATGCTCCTCCTCTTCTCAGCCTCTGCAGTGGCTGGGTTACCAGCTGTATGCAAACACATGCTTGCAAAGTTCTCATACTTTGAACTTTCAGTTAGTTGTCTTAGATATTTCTGTAAAAAAATGAGACTGCTCATTCTTTCCATCCTCTCCCCTTCCATGGTCATGTGTAGTTAAGGCTGGCCTCAAACTCAGCATCCTAAGTGCCATCACACATGATCTCATGACCAATGGCCAGGCAGTCACTCTTACCAATCAAGTTTCATCCCATGCTCAAGATGGTTCTTAACTAAAAACTAGTCCACATGGAATTCTTGTTGTTACTGCTACTATCTTTGTCTCTCTTTGTTTTATACAGGAGATTAAAGAGTCAATTTCTAGCTCAGAGAAACAATCTTTGAGAAAGTAGTACTTTTTGAAGCATTAGACACCAGTGACTATAAGACATTAAATGTGTTATGTCTTATGCTTAAAAATTCTTTTTTTTTTTTTTTTTGGTTTTTTGTGACAGGGTTTCTCTGTATAGCCCTGGCTGTCCTGGAACTCACTCTGTAGACCAGGCTGGCCTCGAACTCAGAAATTCGCCTGCCTCTGCCTCTCAAATGCTGGGATTAAAGGCGAGTGCCACCACTGCCTGGCCAGGATTTTCTTTAATAGACTTAAACATTTAGTGTTAACCATTGTTAGTCATTAAATTATAGCCTCATTAACATGTCAGAATTTTTCATACAAACAGGTTAACAGCTTATTATTTTTTTATTTCTCTAATATGCTATAAGCTTAAGCTTTGTTACACCTCCAACATCCTTTGGCAGTTTAGATTAGAATACACTAAATATTTAATAAGTATCTATTAACTCAGTAAAGTCTTTGTTCTAAAGTATGCTTTTTTTTTTTTTAAATCTGGGTATGTGGTGGTGGGGAGTTCTTGCTAAGCCCTGGATCTCCGAATGGACCAGCAGCTTACACTCCAGTAGTTTTGCATTTATTAGTTTAGTATAAGTTGCATTTCATAGAAGGAAATGCTCAACTCGCATTTATAAATTTTGTTTGAAATAAAGTATCATAGGCTACTTACATTTTTTAAAAATTTGTAACAATTTTAGACAAACAGAACACTTGGAAAAATAACAGGCTCAAGTATTCTCATTAACCAGCATTTTCTATTATCCAACAATTTACCTGACCCAGGTCCAGCAATTGATGTGATGTTCTACACTAGGGAGTTAAGACAGGAGAATCACTTCAAGTTCAAATGACTGTTCCCAGACCACATAGTTAGACTCACTCTCTCTCTCAATCTCTCTCTCTCTCTCTCTCTCTCTCTCTCTCTCCC